GGGGGGGGGGGGGGGGAATTCTGGGACTTGAAGTCTACCCGTCTTCAAGTTGCTGAGGTTGAGAAACCCTGTTTTAAATAAACAAGCCACAAACAAACATAGGGCTGCTTTCAAAAGCCGAACTTGGAGTTTGCAATGGGGCACTTTCCTAGTTGGCATTTGCAGAAGAGACTGAACTAACCCGTTTCCCGGGATGGCACAGCCCAGAGAACGAGCCCACCAAGGATCCAAAGGGGCTGGACGGTCACAAAACGCTAAGCCACAAAAGACAGTGGACCGAGGCGATAAGAAGTTATTCACCGGAGGGTCACGCAGCCCCCAGGCCTTTGGGGTGTGGTGCAAACGCCTCTTTGCTCCTTTTTCCCTTTTCGCATTTATTCACGCGCAAAGCAACGGATTTCAGCCGTTCCTTGCTGGAAGTCGGCACCCTCTTCAAAAACGCGACCTCCAAACGCCAGATTTGTCCTTAGGGCCTTTTCAAAAGCATTTTGATCGGAGGCATTTTTATTTGGGGCCTGTCGAGGAAGACTCTCCCGAGAGTGGGGCTCCTTTGCGGCCAGGTTTGGATGCCAACCGGGTTCCCGTCCTGGATTCCGCGCGCAGAGCCGTTTTGTCCTCCTCTGGCGTTGCTCGATCGCTCAGGTCCCGTCTTGCCGCAGCGGGGGCTGGCTTGGCTGCCAAGTGGCCTTTGCAACCTAAACATTCTGCAAGCAGATTTATAGCCCTGGAGGATCTGCGCCCCCCCACCCAGCTGGGAAGGCTGGCCAAATTTGGGCATACTCAGAAGCCTCGCCGGATGGGGGGCGACGGGAGACCCTGGCTAAAATGGAGTTAGTTGCAAGCTCTTCTCCTCCTCTGAGCGCAGAGGTGTGCTTTGGGGGGTTCAGAGAGCAGACCCCCTCTTCTTCTCCTTCCCCCGTCCCCCCCCCGGGATTTCTGTCCAATATCTTGCGACCCATGCGTCATGGGGGCTTTCTCCTGAACCGATGTGCGTGCGGTTTGTCAGTGAACAAAGAGGAGCCCCTCCCTATCTCAGGGCTGGGGCGATGAGCAAGAGAAGGGCCCTCTGCCCGCGTCCAGAGGCAGCATCATCATCTCCGGGCTGGAGAGAGGAAAACCTGACCCCAACTTGTGGAGCTGAGTTGGTGACTCAGCCCCCGCCGAGTCCAGGCACAAATTAAGGTCTGACAGGCGCAGGAGCTGCCTGCCGCTCTGTGCTTCCCCTTTCGCCCCCCCACCCGCCCCCCAGCCAGGTGGCTGTCCTCCAAGTCGCAACCATTTCCTTGGGGAGGCAAAAAGCTTCCCGAGAGCTGCTGGGGTTGCCCGTTTTGGCAGCCGGACCGAGCCTGCTTTCCGCTGACCTCCAGCAGGGCTCCTTATATGTCGAAAGGCCCCTTTGCTTGCCCCGGGAACTGCAGGGCCTCCCCCCAGCCCTGGTTCCTGGCACTGGTTCCCGCTGCTCTGGGATTCCCCGAGGCAGCCTCCCTTCAGCCGCTCAGCCAAAGCTGCTGGCTGGCTGGCTTTCTCTCTCTCTCTCTCTCTCTTTCCTTCCCTCTTTCCTTCCTTCCTGAGCAACAGCCCTGTAGGGTAGGCTGGGCTGAAAGAGAGGGACTGGCCCAGAGTCCACTATTTTCCAGGGCTGGAGGTGGATTTGAACCTGGATTCCTGCCACCCCAATCCCTGTTTGTTCTCAGGGGGCCACCGAAGCAGGGTCTCTCTCTGGCCGTGCCCTGCCTGCTGCTCGCCCCTTGCAGAAGGGCACCGTTGGCATCTTCCACTCGTGGGCTGCAGCTCCTCCGATCCTTCGTGGCCGATGAAGAGGGGTGGGTGCCTTCCGGATGGCTCTGCCCCCGGCCTCCCTGACCCTCTCTCTCTTCTTCCCCCCAGGCCTGTGCCCAGACTGGGAGACGTGGGACCCCAGGCAGCCAGTGGAGAATGCCCGGGAAGCCATGCAGCAGGCCGACGACTGGCTGGGCGTCCCCCAGGTACCCCTTGGAGATGGGTGGGCTGGGGACAGGGTCCTGGGACCAGGACAGGGGAGCTCCCCGGAAAGCCAGCAGGGAGGGGGGAACAGCTGGAGCCAAACTGTGGGCAGCGCTCTTGGGAGCTTAAGAAGGGGCAGGTGGAAATCCAACAGGCCCAGCTTCTCAGCCACAAAACCATGTGGAAAAACGGGGCATCCTCTCCGAGCTCCCCACCTATTGATTCATGTCCTCTTTGCAGGTGATTGCTCCCGAAGAGATCGTGGACCCCAACGTGGACGAGCATTCGGTCATGACCTACCTGTCCCAGTTCCCCAAAGCCAAGCTTAAACCCGGAGCCCCCCTGCGCTCCAAGCAGGTCAATCCCAAGAAGGCCAAGGCGTACGGGCCCGGTAAGCAGCCCCCTTGGGGGCAGAGAAAGGGGGGGAGGGTCTCGGAGCGGGGGAGGCAAATGGTGAGGAAACAGCTGCCCCCTCCATCCCGCCTGATCTCGCTCTTTTAGCAAGTCAGCAAGCCAGATCCTGTGGCCTGCCTTTGATCGTACCAGCTCTGAAATCAGGGCGAGAGAATCTGCTTCTCCTCAGTTCACTTGTTTGCCCCCCTGGGGGTTGATTTTCGCAACCTGGATCTTTCTCCAGCTCACAGCAGACTGAGATCCAGGAAGAGGAGCTCCCCACAGAGGGGTTGGGCAAAAGGTTTCACGGGTCAAACTGTTGTAGGGCCGAGGGGACGGTCA